AGCAGAGTTGGAGACAAGGAGCTGAGTTCCTGGCAGGAGCTGAGAGTGCCGGGTGTGTGACTGACCCTTGACCCTGGCCTCCTCACAGCCTGTGACTCACTGTATCCCTCCCTTGGCGCCGCCATGTCCTCAGCCCCTGTGATCGCCTTGTCTTTGGCCTCTCTGGCTTGTCCTGCTTCCTCTCTCAGGAAGCCCTCTTGTCTATTTCCAATGCAGAGGATTTCACAGTGCGTCTCTGGCCGAGGTGGTTGCTGACACTGCCGTGCAAGGCAGAAGACCTTCCCCGTGGCACTGAGCTCCGGGGACACAAGGGCCCTGTGAGCTGCTGTTGCTTCAGCACTGATGGAGGCAGCCTGGCCACGGGGGGTAGGGACCAGGTGAGCTGCAGAAGGATGCAGGCCCTGTGCCCATAGCCCCTCCAGTTGCCAGATTACTTAGCAGCACACTTTCTGTTGCTTCCTCCTACTTTTTGCTTTGCCTCATCTCCTGTGGCTCTGTCTGCCTTTGCTTCCATGCATGCCCTCCTCCCTTGAGTCTGCCAAAACAGCCCTGATATTCCCATCTCCCTCCTGTGGTCCTGGATCCCTCTCCTGACACCTCTTCTTGGGACCTTTCCAGAGTCTCTTCTGCTGGGACGTGAGCTCACCCACAGCCCCTGTTATGATTCGCTCCTTCCCTACCTGTCACCGGGATTGGGTCACTGGCTGTGCCTGGACTAAAGACAACCTACTGGTGAGTGAAGGGGCAGGGGTAGCCTGGAGCTCAGCAGGGTTCCTTGGGGAGACAACACTACCCAGCTCATCTTCTTTCTTGCACCCATTAATCAGTAATGGCTACCATTTACTGAGCCCTTAGTGTGTGCCAGGCATTGAATGAAGGTCTTTGCGTATAATGCCCTGTTGAATCTTGGCAGCACCCTTTAGAGTAGGAGCTACTTTTATCACTATTTATCAGACAAGGAAATTGAGCTCAGCAAGAATAAATAATGTTTCCAAGGTCCTATCAGTGATAAAGCTGAGCCAGTAAACTTTATGATAAGAAAGCCTTGCTCAAGAGCACAGTACTATCTCTCCAGGGCTGGAATGCCCTGTCCTTGCAGGTAAAAAATACTGCTCTAAATTTTTTGGTTCTAAGGCACAAAATGTCTCAAATTATGCACTCAAGGTTGGTAAGTTTATTTTCCCCAAAGCAGAGTCCCTGCATTGTTCCCAAAGAGATGAAAAAGGAGTATTAGATGAATAAGGTTGTTAGAGTTCTCCATTCCCTACCTTGGCACTGAAGATTTTTGCCTTTATCTGGATTTGTCTGCTGACATTGTGTCAATTACAAGAACAAGAGCTGCTATTTATTTTTCAAAGGTTTGTTTAATTTTATTTGTTATTATTAATGTTTTTAATTTGCTATAGGGCATGTGTACTCACCAGAGAGAGAATCAGAGAGAGATAAAGTGAGAAAGCAATCTCCATGTCTGGTACTTGAACCACAGTTGGCCATGTGGGAGTCCAGCACCTCAACCAAAACGCCACCTAATGACCCCAGTAGCTACTATTTATTATATGCACACTGAGTACCATAATATGCTAAATTCTTTATACAGAGACACTCAGCCCCACAAACCATCATATGGATTAGCCACATTATCATTATCCTTATTTAGTGAGAAACCCAAGGCTCAAGGAGAAATTTGTTTCAGATCACAAAGTCAGGAATGATGGAACTAGCACTATTTCTTTCCATTTACATAAATAAGTAATTAGGGACCAGCAGGTGGTATAGTGATTAAGCACTGGAATCCCACATGGCGACCACAGTTCAAGTCCCAGACCTGGCGGCTTGCTTTCTCACTTATCCTTTCTTTCTCTTTCTGTCTCTTTCTGGTCAAATAAAATAATAATAATAAAAACAAATGGAATTAAATAAATAAATGATTTTTTTTAAGTAATTAATTATTTTTATTTTGCCAGATGATGTCTGTACTCATGGAAGAGAGACAGAGAGAGAGAGAGAGAGAGAGAGAGAGAAAGGGAGAGAGAGAGAAAGGGAGAGAGAAAAGGAGAAAGCACCCTCCCCCCCTTGGGGAATGGTCAGGTCGCGATCTCTTCTCCTCTGTTTTTCCCTCTTTTAGGATTTTGGTCATGCATGCACATGCACTGGCATGTTTTTTATTTTTTTTTTTGGAGAGATTTTCACTGTAGGGCGCATGTGCTCGCCAGACAGAGACATAGAGACAGAAAGCGAGAAATCACCCCCCAGGGGGGATGGTCACGCCGCAATCCCTTCTCCTCCATTCTCCTCTCGGGATCTTGGGCACGCACGCATACGCACCCGGCGTGAGTTTTAAGCCACCGGGTCCGGGACACGAACCGCGGTCCACTACGTGGGAGTCCAGCGACACAGCCATTACGCTAACTGCTGGTTCCCAACACTGGCATGTTTTTCAAGCCACTGGGTCTGGGACTTGAACCATGCGGTCACCTATCTAGGATCCAGCCACTTTAACCACTGCTCTATAGGCTGGTCCAGGTAGAGCCAGCATTTGAACCCAGGAGAATGTGTGCTCTATCTATCTATCTATTTATGTATTTTATGAGAAACAGAGGAGAGAAACAGGCACCCCAGCAGGGTCTTCACACGCTGTGTACCCCTGGTCTCAGCTGGCCTGGATCACAGGCACGCACGGTGCCGGGAACACGAACCCCAGACCGTTCCCACGTGGTCCACCTGTGTGGCTGCTGTGCCACTGCCTGGCACCCTTTGTGCTCATAATCACAGGCATACTGCGTCCACCTCGCTTGGAGAGCGTTAAGAAGTGCTGGTTGCCCATTAAAAAACTCGTCCCCCTTCTGCCCCTTCAGGTGTCCTGCTCCAGTGATGGCTCTGTGAAACTCTGGGACCCACAGTCAGGACAGCAGCTTGGTCAGTTCCTGGGTCATCAGAGTGCTGTGAGCGCCGTGGTAGCTATGGTGAGAAGGCAATGGGGGCTCATCAAGTGTTTCTGGGGGGTGGGGTGGCAGGAGGCCGTTGGGAGACTAGATGCATTGGGTATCTAATCCCAAAGGCAAACGAAGCCTAGAAAGAGATGCTTGAGACTGGAGTACGGTGTCAAGGCTGAGGGTGGGTGGAGGGGAAGGAGAATGGAACATGAAAACTCAGCCTCTTAGCATCTTGACTTGTGGCAGGATGGCCATCCTGAGCACTAGGTCCCACTATTCCTGAGGTCTGCTCACTCTTTGGTATCTTCCAAGCCCCTAATGCTTGGCCCACACCTAGTTGAAGCAGTCCTAGTTCCCATGTTGTATGATGCTGTATGATGCTGCTCTGACCCTGTGCTCTGGGGGCAGGAGGAGCACATAGTGTCTGTGGGCCGTGATGGGACTTTGAAAGCGTGGAACCATCAGGGCGTGGAGCTGACCAGCATCCCTGCTCACTCAGGACCCATAAGCCACTGTGCAGCTGTCCTGGAACCTCGTGCAGGTAGTGGAATGTCAGTCACCTCTCCTTCCCTGCTGTCTCTTCCCTTCTCTAATTAAGTCTCTATGTCTTATAAGCTGGACAACCTGGGTCGGAGCTCCTGGTGGTGACTGTTGGACTGGATGGGGCCACACGGTTGTGGCATCCACTCTCGGTGAGCTCCCAACAAGGACTAGAGTGGGGGAGGTGGAGAGGGTACACAGGACAACCCTCTGCAGTGTCAACCTCCAGTCTCCATCTCCATCCCTTCCTCCTAGGTGTGCCAAACACACACCCTCCTGGGACATAGTGGCCCAGTCCGTGCAGCTGCTGTTTCAGAGACCTCAGGTCTCCTGCTGACCACCTCAGAGGATGGTTCTGTACGACTCTGGCAGGTGCCTAAGGAAGCAGGTGAGTGAGGCACGGAGAGAGGTGAGGCATGAAAGGGGTTATCTCTTGTATCCCAGCAGGAGACCACTTCTTGGTGAATCACTTCCTTCTTCTCCAGGTGGCACGTATGCACCCAGGAGTTCCACAGCCATTACTGCCATGGCCTGGGCACCAGATGGTTCCATGGCAGTGTCTGGAAATCAGGCTGGGGAGCTAACCTTGTGGAAGGAAGCTAAGGCCGTGGCCACAGCGCAGGTGAGCAGGAGCAACCTCATTGTTGGTCTGTGTGAATTCTGCCCGGCAGTGTATTTGATGGTATATGTCAGAGTGAGAGGCTGCATATGTGGCTGGGGGGCAGGGGAGAAAGTCAGCCTTGCCCCCTCAGAAATACGGACTTGAACTTGTATACCCCAGGCTCCAGGCCGTGTCAGCGCTCTGATCTGGTACTCGGCACACACCTTCTTTGTTCTCAGTGCTGACGAGAAAATCAGCGAGTGGCAAGTGGAAATGCAGATGGGTTCGACACCCAGAAACTTCAGGTGAACCAAGGCAGCTGGGTTAACGTTGTAGAACGATAAACTCCTCATACCTGGGATTTTACCCACATCGTGCCAGTTCTGCTTCTGAACTAGGTTAATAAGATATTGGTTACTGAGTGGGAAGTTAGTTTTTGCTTCTGGCCCTGTAAATTTAAATGAATAATTCTCAAGTCCCTACTCGATGCCTTAGGTCTGAGCCGCTAGGCTGTGTAAACTGGAAACAATTGAAACGTATTCTTTGTTTTGAGAGGTTTTTGCTATAGGGCACGTGCACTCGCCAGAAAGACAGAGAGATAGAAAGTGAGAAATCACCCTCCAGGGGGGATGGCCACGCCACAATCCCTTCTCCTCCATTCTCCTCTTGGGATCTTCGGCACACACGCACACGCGCCCGGCATGAGTTTTAAGCCACCGGGTCCAGGACTTAAACTGCGGTCGACTACATGGGAGTCCAGGGACATAGCCATTATGCTAACTGCTGGTCCCATGAAACGTATTCTTTAGTTGAGGAAGCTCACAGTAGAGGAACGTGGATATAATTACACCAGCAATGATATCACATGATTAGTGCTATAATGAAGACACACGTGCACACACATATATTCCTAGAACTACAGATTTTGAGAAACTAGGAAAGAGATGAAATTTGAGGTTGAACTTAAAAAATGAGGCGTATTCGGAACCATAAGGCATGAAGGTGTGTGGTGTGTTCTGGGTATAGCCGAGTCTTTGGATTCCTGGTGGATTTGAGGAGGGGGTTAGAGCAAGAAGATAAACTAGGGCTAGACTGTAGAGAGCACAGCTCTAAGACATTGGTGTAGAATAATGACCTGAATTTTAGAAAGAGAACTCTGGTTGGGCCAGCCTCATGGCCTAGTGGTTAAGGGAGCTGGATCCCAAGTGGCCAACCATGTGGTTCAAATCCTGGCCCTGGTGGCTTGAAAAACATGCTGGAGGTGTGTACATGAATGTCCAAATCTTGACTGGATGAGAAAATAGAGGAAAAGGGATTGCGGGATGACCACACTTCATTGAGGGGATGCTTTCTCCCTCTCCCCGTCTGTCGGTCTCTCTATAGTGAGGACACACATCCTCTCGCAAAGTTAAAAAAGAAAAGAAAGAAAGAAAAAGAGAGTTCTGGTGGCAGCATAGAGAATGGATTATAGTAGAGAAATGCTAAAGGCAGGGAGAGTAATGTGGGCCTTGACCTGGGCATTGACGACGAGACGGAGAGACAGACTGAGGCCCGTGTTATTGGTAGGGAGCGCAGGGTTTATTTATCAGTCAGACGTAAGGAGAGAAGAAAAAGACAAGAATGTTAGCAGTTCTTGGTTTGAGCAAATAAGGGGTTGTGATGATGAATACTAATATAAGAAGAGCAGAAAGAAAAACAGGATTTATAAGAAAGGTAATATATTTTGTTGCTTCTTTCTTGAGAAATTCATGGGGAACTGAGAAGCCTGAGACGGTTTGATTAAAGTAGCATGTTTCTCTCCATGTTCTTTTTTTGAGCTACAGTCTTTGCTTGAACCGAATTCTGCAGGAAGACACAGGAGTGCTGACAGGTCTGGCCCTGGCCCCTGATGGTCACTCCCTTCTGTTGGCCAAAGCAGAGTTGGAATTACTGCTCATGAAGCCAGGGGATGTTCCCTCTGTAATCTGGTAAGATCCAGAATACTGCTTTCCTCTTGACCTGGAAAAAGGAAAAGTGAGTTAGTGGTTGTTGTGAAGTTGAATCACACTTAAAACACTGGAGTCTTAAAGAGAAGTGCTCCTCTTTTAATTGCCAGGCTCAGCCTCTTTCTTTCTTACATACCAGGAGGAGCTATACATTCCATCCTCTGATGTTGTCCACCCACAAGGAGTATGGTGTGTTTGTTCTGCAGCCCATGGACCCTGGAGTTCTATATTTTTTAGTAAGTCCTCTTTGGGTATGCGTGAAACTTTTGTCTAGGATGACTGTTTTGTTTTTGTTCCTGCTTTTGTTGTACTTAATCTTTGCCACAGGGTGTGTACACTAGCCAGAGAGAAACAGAGACAGAGAGATGGAGAAAGCACCTCCCATGGGGGTGTGGTTATGTTGCAGTTCTCTGTTTCTCCATCCTTTTCTTTTTTTAAAGAATTATTTAATTGTATATTCTATTATTTATTTATATTTTAATTTGCTATAGGGCATGTGTACTCACTAGCGAGACACACATGCACACACACACACACATACAGAGAGAGAGAGAGAGACAGAGAGTGAGAGAAAGCAAGCCATCAGATCCAGGACTCAAACTGTGGTCGGCAATGTGGGAGTTCAGCTGCTCAACCACCATGTCACCTGCTGGTCCCTCTCCATCATTTTGGGATCTGGGACACACACACAGACCAACCCAGTGTATTTTTTTTTAAAGAATTATTTTATTTAAATTTACTTATTTATGTATTTATTTTAATTTGACCAGAGAAGGAAAGAGAGAGAAAGTGAGAAAGCAAATCACCATGTCCGGGACTTGAACTGTGGTCGGCCATGTGGGAGTCCAGCATGCTGCCTGCCGGCCCACAGCCCAGTGTATTTTTTAAGACACCAGATTTGGGATGCAAACCAGGTTAGCCAGGTGGGATCTAACCACCGGGTCATGGACTAGCCCCTAGGACCAGGTTTTTTAAACCTTAGGGCCCAGTATGGAGGATAAGAGTAGGAAAAGGAAGCTGTCTCCAAATCCCCTTATCCTCCTTCAACCAGAATGGCTGTACTTATATTAGGTCTTTTAAAACAGTCATATTTTTCTACACAAAAATTTTCAACAACCTAATATATTGGGTTTCCATTTTAGATTTCATTAGTACAAAAAAAGGATTCTATTATTTTTTTTAAAAAAGGAAAAACCATAAACCTAAGAGTCTTTTTACTTGTGTGTGTGTATGTTCTTATTTTTTATTTTTTTCTTGTGTGTGTGTGTGTGTTTTAAGAGAGATTTTTGCCATAGGGCTCATGCATTCGCCAGAGAGACAGAGAGACAGAAGCTGAGAAATCACATTCCCCCCAGGGAGGATGGCCACATTGCGGTCTCTTCTCCTGCAGTCTTCTCTCTGGATTGTGGGCATGTATGCACATGTGCCCAGCATGAGTTTTAAGCTGCCAGGTCCAGGACTTAAACTGTGGTTGACTATATGGGAGTTCAGTAATGTGACCATTATGCCATCTGCTGGTCCCCGGATTTGTTTGTTTGTTTGTTTTTTAAGAAAGTTTTTTTTTCTATAGTGCATGCACACTTGCCAGAGAGACAGAGAGGCAGAAAGCTAGAATTGCCCCCCCAGAGGGATGGTCACATTGAAGTCTTTTGTCCTCCATCCCCCTCTTGGGATTTTGGACATGCATGCTTATGTACCTAGTGTGAGTTTCAAGCCTCTGAGTCCACGTATTGAACCATGGTCAACCATGTGGGAGTCCAGTGATGTAACCATTATGCCAGCTGGTGGTCTCTAATTTTTTTTTTTTTAAGAATTATTTATTTAATTTTATTTAATAATATTCTTCAATTTGATGAGAGAGAAACAGAGAGAGAGAGAATGCTGCCAGGTCTGGGATTTGAACTGCAGTCAGCCATGTGAGAATTCAGCTCCTTAACCACCACTTCACCTGTCGGCCTCTCTATTTTTTTTTTTTATATGTAGTATGAT